CCCAGTTTCAGGGTGATGTTTAGTTGGTAGATATACACGAGAACATCAAACTGGGAGTAATATATGAAATCCAGTGTCGGGAATGTAACTCTACATATATAGGGGAAACAGGAAGGGTCTTGGCAATTCGCATCAAGGAACACCTTGCTAGCATGAGGCGTGGTACTCTTACAACTGCTCTTGGGAGGCACAAGGTTGCTGAACATAATGGGTTGGAATTCGAAATAAAGTGCAGTGTGCTGGCAAATGAGACGGAACTTTCAGCTAGAAAAGCGTTGGAAGCATTCTGGATATTCACTAGAAAACCCAGAATGAACAATCGAGATGAGTGTCCTTCCATCACAAGTGACCTACTACCGTTTATACCCCACTGCGGACTGTAAAATGACAGAGCGTGACGTGCGTCTCCACAATATGTCATCACACGGAGACAATGTAGAATTTCTCATTTCTCTACTAACAGCGCTCTGGTGTGGCTGCGGACCTATCCGCTAAACGGTGGAACAACTGGTGAGTCTGCTTCTTGCGGTACTGGCGTCTTCTCGAGGGTTCCTGACCACTACGTCGGAACCGCTAGATTCGACGAGGCGCTTGGTGGGGTAGGTTGCGAATCTAAAACTTGAAACATGTTCAGGCCTCTGAAGACGACGATTGAGTCGAAACGTTAGGCCGTTTAATAAATGTTCCACCTATCAACCTCGTAAGGCACAAAACAACTGAAAGGCCTAATTTCTTTGTTCTTTTCTTCCTTCATGGACACTGGTGGGTGAACTCACCGACAGTAATACTGCACAGCATTGCTGTAATACTGCTCGCTAACTTGTCAGACTATTCATTTTCTCTAGTAGGTAGTCGGTTGATGTCCATGCCAGTTGCTACTTGACCGTAAACTCGTGCTGCGGGGGTGGAATACGCCAAGTTTTTTCGCTGTTATTAGGTTTGCTGGTATAATTTGTACGTATATGTGGATGAGGGTAAGACGCTGCTTGACTATGACGGACATTTTGCGCTTTCGCTGATTCCTCCTGGCTGCTTGTCATGCGAACTAACACTCTTGTGAAGCCCGAAACAGTGCAGGGGAGTCACCTTTGTTGCAAGAGTCTGCAGGACTTCACAAGGCGACATTGCATTGCTTAGTGTAGGTATAGTTATAGGCATTGATTAGTACCGTTTGCTACCATTTGCTGCCCCCACCAAGCCGAAGAGCGCCCAGGTAATGATTAGAACGGGGCGATACCTTTGTAGTCATTGCGTACAGATGAAAACGTTGATTTGAGTACCCTTCATCGTGAAAGGTTCTACGACTCATATTAAAGCAAGAGTGGAAGCAAGCCTGTAGTTGCTAGCATAAGAGGGGATGTCGCTCAAATTAGATAACTGCCTCTAAATCTCTCCGTTTTTCAAGCTTAATTGGACTAAACGTTTTTTAGATGGTATATGGTAGATGGAAGTTTATTCAAATGTTTCATTATAGGAGGACTAATTCACTGTCGATGTGCAATTGTGTGGCATGCGGAATATTCTTGTCCACTTGCTTCCTTGGATTGATACCACACGTTCGCCACCAGGAAGACCTTATTCGGTAACCAATCCCATCGTTCTTCATTTCCTTTTTTCAAGACGCACAGTGCTTTCGTATCACGGCTGAAAAAAACATTAGCTAGCTTTTTTTTCAAACGCGTAATTGCATTGTGTTCTGCCCTGTTGCTTTTTTTTGCTCGTTGCCCCATATCTAAGCCCTCCTTCATAAAATGTGAGGATAATGAGGTGTAGAGCATTAATTTTCAGTCACGCCATCACAGTGCGAACTTGCGGGATATGACCGCCGCGCTGCCATGGTGAGCAGCAACGCTGCGCGTCGTCTATATCACCAAAGTCAGCTGCGATGGCGCGACTGGAAATCCACACCCAAAGGTCATGGAGTCAGTATGTGAACATAGAGTAACTGCCACCTCCCTCCTAACATCCTTCTTCGTTTGGACTGCTGCAAGGTGAAAGAAGTTCGTCTGACTGTTATTTGAGAGCTGTCGCAGCTCTGCAGCGATTAGTAGTGGGGCGCTCGACTCAGAAATCGCTTGAATAAATTACTCTAGTCGCGAAAAGAGAACGTGTCCTAAGTGCCGTAGGTTGTGGTGGTGCTTTTGGTCACAACAAGGAATTTCTAGGATGCATATGCCTTCATTTTTTCAACGTTAATGTCCCACGGCAGGAGGTGGTGCAGTGACAAGTAGCGCGCTCACCACTCGCGCGGTTCGGGTTCAAATCCCGGGTCGACTCCCGCCCAGGCCAACCAAGCCTTCTACCCTCCGGGGACGGTAAATTGGTACCAGATTCGTCTGGGAGGATAAAACACTGACTTGTACGGCCCTCGCAAGTCGTTGTATAGGTCACATCGCATTCACTAAGCTCAAAATCGTAGTGGCTTGGCGAAGACCTTATCCTTTATCCTTTGTCCCGAGTGCCTTTGACCCAAGTGTTATTTTAGATTCGTCGCTGTTACTGTTAACACATTTGTGGTTCTTTTTCCCAAATTATTTACCCATTTTAGAGTGTCCTGGCGTGGAAGTGGAAGAGAGAACTCCTCTGCCAACACTGACACTGGTGAACGTGGCGTCTTCTTCAGTACTGAGTCAGTAGTTCTGCTTGGATTTCTTATGATTCTAATAATAGAGCAGGTAGGTTCCTCGAGGATCTTCTAAGGTGCTTCAGTACCACAGCTTATTTTCGCTCATTTCATTTCACTAGTTTTCGGTTGGGACGGTATCGTTTGCATTTTCCAGCTGGTTCACATTTGCTCGGCAAGCAGGACGTCTTCGAAGACTTCTCCAGCTCGAGCGGATGCTCTGCCATCATTGAGATCGCTCCTAGAGGGAGATGCTGAAGATGGTCAGCCCCTGGTTGACACTACTCTCGATGACCGCGACGATGGCATGCAAGATATTGTATTCCTCCGTTCAGTAAGTATTTATCGCTACTCTTTGTTGGCACTTTTCCAGTACCACTGCACTGGTTATATCTGAACAAAAGGTCAGTACGCCATTTGCCCATTATCAAAGCGGTTGTTGCATATTGTGGAGGTTCATGTGGGGCCAACAGTGCAGTGCCCTCTTGCTGCGCGCTCCTGAAAAGGCCGAAGAAAGGGTGAAAAACGGGCTGATGGTTAGAATATCGTGGGTGTCAAAATCTTGCGCTGCTGCATTATTTTCCTGTATTCCTATAGGTGGGAACCATTTGTCTGAACAGAAATATGTCGCAAAAACGACTCAAGAATTTTTGTCGCAAAACAACAAAAAAAGAAACAAACAAGAAAATTTTTTTTGCCCAGTTCATGCGCGACTCTAAATTTTTTCGCTCCCATTCTTCGATTTCCAGAAACGCCCAAACTGGTTGGTTTTCATATGCTTGTGGTAATCAAGAGGGGGAGGTGTGAAATTATGGGTGAGACAGTTGAGCAATCTTGCTCCTTCAACATCTGCAGCAGTTGTGCGACGTGTGGTGGCGCGTTCTAATGGAAGAGTGGTGTTTCTCTTGGAAGTAGTTCTTCTCTTTTGACTAATGTCTGGTAAAAAAAGTAAAAAAAAGCAACTAAATGTCCCTGTCGCGATAACAAATCCATCTCGAGCGCATGTCGATCGTAACCATACGGTATTTGCAGATGTCGCGCGCGAAACCCCGTGGTTTTACCGTCACATACCCACTTGGTTTGAAGACCGTAGATTGCAGTGATTTTTTCTTTCGATGGAAGAGCTTTACCCACTGCAGAACTGCTATGTTTCGAAGGTCGAGGTCAAAGGCGAGCATTATTGCCCGGACAATCCGATAGTTTTACAATAAACTGATGGTACTCAGGAATTTACTAGTGCCCTGCAACGGAATTCTTACTTTGCTAACTTTAAACTGTGGTGTGTTTGAAAAGATAGTTGTCGTAAAAGCATGTTTAAATCGCAGCACTACTGAAGTGATTTGAATGAGAATATTTTTCTGATGGAGGGGACAACATCCTCTTGTTCTGTTGTAGGAGAACTAGCAGTAAAAGTAAACTAGATAAATGAACGATCATAAGAATTGAAGGTACGAAACCGCAATGTTCGAACACTTTCGTCGTGGTATATTCTAAAGTTCCCTGTAAAATAGTTTTAAAATCAATTACAGTCCTCGCCGATGGATTGCGGCTCTCCTCATGCTGGATTTAGCCAAGCTGCACCCCCTACTGACAGTATATCTGCTCGCACTCTCTTCCTGCTGTTTGGACTGTCTACTCATTCATTCTTCGAAGGAATTGCTTTAGGTGTTCAGGTACTTCCAAAATTCCCTTGTCGCAGTATCACACATGCGCATCTTTTATCGATTGATGCTCTTTATTGCAGCATGACAAAAACGACTTCATGAATATACTGGTTGCTGTGATGTTCCACGAGGTAAGAAATTCCTAATTGAATTCAAGTTTTCTGAGCAACTGGGACATATTCAATTCTGAGGCTATTGAAAGGGGCGAGGGGGAAGAGCTGAATCTCAAATCACAAGGACCTCATCAGAAGATGCTTCCTGAAAAGTACGGGGTTGCTGTCTATTCACGGACCTTCGCTTTTTTGCTATTGGTTTGGACCCTGTTGCTAGAAGAAGTTTTTTTTTCTCAAAGGGATGATTTGCTTCTAAAGTGACTAACTAGGGAAGGTCGCCACGTCGAAGTGGCCATTTGTAGAGATGTAGCTCACGGGACGTGGTTTTGGACGCTGATCTCGAATCTGCCTTCGAAATTTGCAGAACGATTCTTTGAACGGAGTTATTTAGCTTTTTCCTCCTCGTCGGTCATGAGATCGGATCCTTGCTAAGTTTAACCTCTTTGTCTCTTGCACGAATATGGCGAAAAGTGGTTTTGCCGTTAATACTATTTCAGCACTTACCTGAACTTGAAAGTTTGCGTCCGTTTATTACTGCGCTTAAGCACCTTGTAGAAGCCTCGTAGTGCAGGAAAAAATTTGGGCGTACAGGTGCCTGTCATGCACGATACAGGCGTTCTCGCGCTCACATTCGTGTGCAGCGGGTAAAAATACCTTTATACACAAGTTCCTAGCCAAATCTGGTATTTTGACCTGAATTCGAAAAGTGAAGCATCCATAGGGTGCAGTTCAATTCATGTCCACACCTATTCAGCTACAGATATATTCTACTGTGCAAAGCGTCATCTTGCCATTTCTGACGCTTTCATTTTGTTACTGCTCCAGTTTTCCTGATATCTAAAGCAAGTTCCTGTCCAAGATAAGCAATCGATAAGAAACTGGCCCAAAAACTACTGGTGACCATCATTCGATCCTGCCGCACTTTTTCAAAGTTACATCAAAACCTTACATTTGGCTAGTAACCTGTTCCCAGGGGGAGTTTTGCTCACTGAACACGAATGTGAGCGCTCTCTGAACACAACACCCATTTGGCGTTTGTGTGTTTTCTAGACTCAAAAGAGACATTCCTCACAAAATGCAAAAAGGTACCCTCCGCAGGACCTAAACCTCCATGTCACGCCTATGAAGCACCACTATCACTACACCATGCTGTCGCTGATCGTGTTCGTGCTTAACTGCTGTTTGAGCAAATTGGCTGGCAACCGCACTCGACTCACTGTCCCTTCAGTCGAACAAACCTTCATAATTCCGTTTAGAGAATCGTTTTGCAACATGATATACGTCTCTTTACAAATGGCCACTTCGACCTTGGCGACCACCCCTAGTAAGAGTAACAAAAGTCGGTGTTGATCGTTTAAACACCACATACTATAGATGAAATGGGCGTGGTTGCTTTGCCGTCCGATGTCTTCCATTTGAAACAGCTCTATTCCTGTTTTGTGCTGGACAAAGACATGACTGCGATTGTTCCAACCTGTCGACAAATTCGCGATGAATTTTACTAGCGGTCCCGTGATTTATGGTGTGTAACATATACACCATTATCACTTGAAATTCACGATTTTCCAGACCAAAATCACCTTTTTTCGAATCAAATTCACCAGACTTTAGACCAGGTAGTTAGCGAACTAGATCGCGCTAGACCGCAAGTCCCGCCCTGACAGGCCGCCTACTTTTGAGCTTTTTCAAAGTTTATTTTACAACTTCTACTTCTGTGACTTTTTTGCCCTTTTCGCTATCTCGCATACATCCACAAAGTGAAAAGGGTTAACATCGACCACTGGTGACTCCGCCTCCCTCCTTTTCAAATTTGTTGCAAATTACAAATTTAGTCCAGTTGAATTAGTTCCAAAAATTTACAGGTGTTGTGCTGTGTTGCGTATGGCGTTTCTATGGCTCAACAGCATACACCTGTGCGTTCCGCATTGCCAACCGTCATAATTTTGTCAGCCAGTATTCCATTAGGAATGATCATCGCTGTTCTGGTGAGGCTAATTGAATTTTTACGGTCTAACAGGTTACTGTTAGGTTTTAGTTTGTTGGACAGATGAGCTGGTGTGGTTACGTTTGTCCGCGTGATGTGATTCGTTCAGGTAGACCAGGTGAACTCGAATTCGCTCATGTTACGATTCGTTCTCGAAGGATTAGCAGCTGGTACGTTTGTATATGTCGCCTGCGTTGAAATGCTAAGTGTTGAATTGGGTCACTCACATGGACATAGCCATAACGGTAACCACGGACAACCAAATGCTCATGGACATCACGCATCACCATTTCAAGTAAGTTTTCAAAGTAGTTAGTAGTCCATTAAGAAAATTCAGCCTGTCCCACTACAACGTATCCAAAAACAATTTCTTCTGAAACTTCGCGTTTATACGGATGATTACGGATGTGATATGCGTTTTGGGGCTGAAGCTACCACATTTTTCAATGCAAACTCGTATTTGGGGGTAATGGGGGGGGGTCCTAGTCACCAATTAGTATTCATTTTTGGCGCTGGCGCCATTTACCAGCAGGCGCGAGAATTAGTTTCATATTCATGATTCACTATATAACCTCTAAGCGAAGATTCAGCGAAAATTTTCTGAGTTCTTGGAGCCGTGATAGTGGAATAGTGCCGAGAGTTCGATTTAATTGAGTTTTTCACTTGAAAAAGAACTGAATTTAATGAGAAAGAAAAAAGAGAAGAATCAGAGTTTTACTGTTTTGCTGATGAAAGTGGAAGTTCAATTTTTCAGGGTTTGATGAAAGCAGGTGCTGTGGTTTTCGGCGTTCTTCTTTTCTGCGGTTTGAGGTTTGCTCGTGGTGGGCATCATTAGACGGCGTACTCAAATTCACTGATTAGTAGTGATGGTCAATCTGTCATTTGACAAGTACCTACTTATTTCTAACCCATCTATGGCTTTCGTCATGTCGGTTTTATTTTCTTCCGATATTCATCGGTATTCGTGCAGTGGTCATCCGGCCACTTGATTAGGGCGGCAAGAGTCGCGAGGCGGCTGCAGCGCGTCATGGCTGTGTCAGTCAGCTGTTTCTAGCCTAATTTAGCCATTTTCTCCCTGATTTCCACTCTATTTTCTCAAAAGTTAGTTGTTTAGTTGTCTCTATGAAGTACATTAGGGCGTGGAGTCTTTTTTTTGATTCTATAATAGAGTGTTTTTGCGATTTTTTTTCAGGTGTCTGTTCTATTGTCTGCCTAACTGCTTAATTGTGCGCAAAGCGTAAAAAAAAACAGAGAAATCTCAATCATAATTTACCTTGTGAAGACAAGGAACAACTAATCTCGAGAAAAGCAGCCATAACAGTGTAAATTAGGGAGAAAATGGCTAAAATAGGCTGGAAACAGCTGATTGCAGCGACACGCCGCAGCCGCATCGCGACCGCCCTAATCAAGTGCCAGGATGACGACTGTAGAATTCGTAGATCAAAAACCGTTTCAACATAACGCATTTCTCGTTGATCTCTGTCATACTCGTTCAATTCTTTTTGCAACTTTGTTGAAAATTGATCTAGTCATTGTGTGAATACCTTTCAATTACCGTTCATTGAACTTGTGATTTGTTTGTGTGACATTGACTTTTTGGTGTGTTCTGGTGACCTCGCACTCTTGATATGATTCAAATAACTTGTTCTTGTTATAAACATCTGTGCACGGATTGTGTTGCCAACATCGAAATCGGTGTAAATGACACTATGTTCTTGTTTGAACCTCTTTTGGGGCTTGTATTTACTACGATATTACTGTAAAGGAGTCATCTAGGTAATGCCTGAGTTCATTGTTTCGAATGAGAGTTTTGACATTATCCAAGAGACAGCCTACTACAATGACGTCTACAAAGATTTATGGTGATTAGATAGTTCTTTTCATCCAGTTTATCGTAGAGTTTAATTTATTGGAGGAAATGGTATGTGATAACAGTAGTACTCGAAAATTCAGTGTCCAGCTGGATGAACAACTTTTTGCAATCAATGGTCCATTTATGATGGAAAGTCAATTCGAAGCTATGAAAAGGCCAAATCGAAGAGTGCGTAAAAGGAAATGCCAGTCTCAACTGAATGAAAAAGATATCGAAGTGGGTACTTAGGTTCGGTTCTTAGTGCTTTTGTTGTTTTTGTTGGTACGAGGCATCCTCTGGGAACGGGAGAGGGGCAAGAGAATCGTAAATTGCCGCTTCGTCGCCTATGGCAATGGGTGCGACGTTCCCTTAACTTGCACTGGAGCATCGGATTTCATGTATACACGGACATGGTAAGATTTCATGTATACACGGACATGGTGAAAACTTATATCTATTTTCTGGTCATACGTTGTCCATTCTCGATCAATACCACCAAAAATCGTCCATAGCAGGCGCGATGCCGCGCGCGACGCTCACTGGCGCGGCGAATTGCGATTCTCTTGCCACATAGCCCTCTGGGAACTGCAGGATGAGCAGAATTGTGATAATCTCCATCGTATCTTTTGTAAACCAGTTTTCCCTGGTCCTATCTCTAATTCTCGTGATGAACAATTTTGATCCTCCCTCTATGAGTAAGATGCTGCTGTATCTGTGCTTCACCCAACATTGAGTTGATTGCTGCTTTTAGCTTTTGTACTGACATAATTTATGTGAGAGAAGCAGGAACCGCTCGCGGCGAAGCTGACGCCCCGCCCACTGCGCAACGCAATGCCAAACTTCCATTTCAAAATGCTTACTGGTGGTGTGGTTGTCCCGCTCCAACTCTCTCCATTCCAAAGGGCGAGGGTGAGGTGATAAGGTAAGGAGCTGATATCGTATGACGCCGCCAAGTGAGAACTCGTCCCAACGCGCCCTGTCTTTACCTTGAGAACGTACAAACTGGACTCGACATAGGCTGCTAATTGGGCATTTCGGACGATTTTTCCTGTTTTTTCTTCACATCTGACCCATCACTTTTTCATTGGTATCTGAACAGCATGATGCAATTTCAAAGGTGGAGCATGCCTTCAAATTACAATACTGACATATATACAGCCACAGCATAATGAGTACTTCTTAGGCAGCGCTCAGAATTCGCGAAGACGCACTGTAGCGCAGTGCGACTACACGCTACAGCAGCGTTGGAGAGCGTTTGTAGCGCGCTACAGTGTGACGCGCTACAAGCGCTCTCCAACGCTACTTTTTCAGACGACGGGTGCTGGTTGAGCACTAAGTGGTCTGTGGTCTCATATGCAGCCCAAGGCACGAGAATCAGACCTGTGACTGAAAGTGATGCTACCATACATCACTCACCTGTACGACTCATTTCTTTATTGTAGACCTAATGGCTGGGCCATCAGGGCTCCATCATGTAGGTTCATCTACATGAACTCCTCTTCCTATCTTCTATTTTACGATTAGTCAGATTTTCAGTGGCTTGGAAGAGTTGTCCGATTCAAGAGTAGGGTTGCAGAGGCTCGGTAGAGATGGCAGTTAAGGTCAGCAGCGTCAAGTAGTAATATGACAGCCGCCAATCGCGCCGTCCGGCTCCTACCGATACCTGTTTGTGGCTTCGTTCTCGTCTATAGCATTGCACCCGATTGCAATTGTAGCGCGTCGACGCGCATTACGACGCGTTGCAGCGCGTCTTGTAAACGCTGCCTTGTGAACGCATCCCAGACAGGGTGAGAAACGGACATATGGGTGCGCTGGTGGAAATGAAGAATGTTTTGCCGGTCAGCCCTAGCGGTATACGTTGTGTCCAACGCACCACAGTCTCGTTGGTCTCAGCCTCTAGGAGCTGGAGATCTTTCACTTGGTGTGCTCGCTTGACTGGAACTTCGATGTCCAGTGCTTTCCTTAATGGGGTGATCTTCAGACCTTTTTAGTACCTGCCCATGCAATCGTATTGGTGCCTTCATATGGACGAAAGCATTACCGCCTTGACGACTTCATTTTTGACCGCATCCAGACGTCTGCAGCTGCAACTCCATCTCAGCATACTCATTTCCGCAGTGGGAATTGCTTCTAGAGATTTTTTCCTAAGGGCCAGCCCTCCCTGCGGTACAGCATCGCAGCCCTTACTACTGCCCGGTACGCTTTGCCTTGAGCTTTATGGAGCACCATCGGCCGCTGAGGATACCAGTGTTCATTTCATTTCTTCTGAGCCGCATTCATTCGGGGCCGGTCCTCGCTGGCGTCAGCAGGTAAAACATTCCCATGGTACATACTGAGATCTTCCACTCTCTCAATAGTTTTCCAACAGTAGCTTACGGCGAATCCATCGCGCTCTTCGGGAGCAAGAATTTAGTGTTCTTCACATTTTGCCGCAGATCATTTTTGGTCAGTACTTCTTGCCATTTTTGCACCTTGCAATGAAATTCTTCTCTGATGTCAGCTGTCAGGGCAAGGCCGCTTGCTCAGAGGGTAGCTCTGAGCGTACTCTCCATGAAATCCTTTGCCATGTCATCCAGAAACAAAAATAGTCTCATAGCTGATCCTTGGTGCACCCCAACTTTGATGCCCGCCTTATTTGTGATGCCGTGCGGAGCGCGTATAGTCGCCTTAGCCCTATCGTGTCCCATTCTCTTAGCGCCCTCCGAAGCACAGGTCGTGGTGGGCGATCGAATACCTTCACAAGATCCAGGTAGGGCGTGTACCATACCTCGACGTCTTGAGTGGCTCGATGCGGGACATTCGTCATCAAAAGGCGAATTTGTCTATTTCTCTCCATCAGCTGTCAAATGTCTCGTACAAGTCGACTACAGTATTCTTGGCCTTGGCTAGGGCTGCCTTAGCGAGATGCTTGTCCTACATACAGCCCCAAATTTTGATTTTGCGAAACTGCCTTTGGATATTGCGATCTGAGACCATCACTGTTAAATTCCTCATAAGCGAAAGTATAGGAATGCACTACCTACGAGCACATTGTGAACTATTGAGCAATGATTTATTGTTTTGAAAAAATTTCTTAATAACAAAAGTATGTGGACACTTAACAAAAAACAAAAGTATCATGGAAATTAAAACTTGGTGCTCCCTCCCGCGTTCACTATTACTTCGAACATTCTGTCTGGCATGCTGTGGACAAGATTTGTGATAGTGTCTTCGTCGATTTCCTCCCATGCAGCCACTACCGCCTCCTTGAGGTCTCGCACGCTGTTGTACTGCCGATTGTTCATGTAAATTCGTCGAACCATAATTCCCCACAGGTTTTCGATTGGGTTGCAGTCAGGAGAACATGCCGGCCAATCCATCACTTTGATACCATTGCGTTGGAGCCATTTTATAGTAGAATTTGAAACATGCACGGCGGCGTTGTCCTGCTGCAGCACATGTGTCCTGGGTCGTGGCCCTCAGAAAAGGCAAGAGGTAGGATTCGAGCACTCCTTGATATTCCTGACTGTTCATACGGCACGATGGGAAGGCGAGCTCTAACTTTCCGCTGGTTCCAAAACCACCCCACACCATCAAAGAGCCGCCTCCGAAATTTCGTCTCGAGAACATCAACGGATCGCTACAAAGGTCTTTCCAGTAATGCTGATATCCATCTGGACCATCGAGATCGGACTTTTTTTTCATCGGTGAAGATAACCTAAGAATGAAAAGCGCATGGGATGTTGCCTTTCTGATTTTACAAATTTCTCAAAAAGCTTCACCTTGTCCCACGACGTCGCCATGTTTGCACGCGCGAAGTTCACTCTCGCCAGCTGGTGTTGGGTAGTCAGGCGAGGAGCTTTCTTCATGGTCTCTCGTGTGATATGCTCATTTGATCGAACATAGCGCCATATCGTCATTTTTGAGACCGGTAGATTAATTGCAGCATGGATCTATCTCACAGAAAGGGGGAGTTTGAGGCGACCCGCGCTATTTTTCTGATG